GGTTGCTCTGTCACATCACCCAGTGACATCTGTTGAGATGGCAACAGCACCGGAGAGAGAATCCAAACATACTTAGCATTTGGATATATCAGTCCTTAAACCAACATTCTCTCCCCGCGATTTGGGTTTCAACCACAGCCACTACGTGGATCCCGAAGGAACCTCAACCAATTGACCGGTCAGGACTTGGTCCTGTGGGCAACCGGCCACCCGTAGTGCCAGATGATATGGTGCTCTGGTTAGACCCCATGCCAAATCATTCCGAGTCGAAGCCAAGGATACATTTGACATCACCAGTTTATAGTCCCGGCAGACTAGAGATACTGGTAGCATCTCTTTACCCCGGGATTGCAATACACCATGATGGACATTTCATCATGGAAACATGCCCCGGGGGGGGAGGATAGAGAGTCAATATAACTTTTCATTAAACCGAATTCATATGTAGATAAAATAAGGAATTTTATAAGCAACTAGCTATACCCAGTGTGCTTTGCTACCCTAAAAGCAATATAAATAAAAAATCTTCTTAATAATTTTGAAGATTCTAACTGTAATGTTTTCCAGAGGTACATTTTTTCCCAACGTTAATTAAGATTTTAATGTAATCGATGACAAATTAAAAAAAAATCTAATATTTTTCCGGATATACGAAATTTTGTATTTAATTCATATAGGCCAAGACCCCATTGAAAGTCCGCCCGTTATTCTCTAAATGTTCACATTAATGTCAAAGATCTTCATATAGAATTTGAAGATTCTAGCTCTAATAGTTTCTCAGATATACGAATTTTTCTATTTAATTCATATGGGAACTCACAGCCCCCAGATGAAAGTCCGCCTTTTTTTTTCTCCAAAATGTTCATATGTATAATAAAGTTCTTCTTTTGAAGAATCTTGTTCTATTAGTTTCCCAGATAAGCGAAATTTTGTATTTAATTCATATGTGAGGTGCCAAACCCCCCATTGAAAGTCCGCCCGTTATTCTCTGAATGTTCACATGAATGTCAAAGTTCTTCAATTAAAATTTGAAGATTCTAGCTCTAATAGTTTCTCAGATATAATAATTTTCCTATTTAATTAATATGGGGGCTCCAAGCCCCCCATGACGAAAGTCCGCTCTTTTTTCTCCAAAATGTTCAGATGAATATTTAAGTTCTTAGTGCAAAATTTGAAGAATTTAGTTCGATTAGTTTCCCAGATATATGATTGGTTGACCAAATTTTGTTCTGATTTTACAAGGGTTTCTGATTCAGTGCCTTCTTTACCCAATGGGAATTAATTTTTGGATCATTTTTTAATTAGTTCAAATTTTATTAATATCTGTAACCCAAATTTTTTAATTAGAACACTTCCAACTTATTGACGACATATGACTTTGAATTTTGGGAAATGCTATTTTCCTTTACGGTTTTAGGAATTTCTAAAATATTATACATAAATATGAATGCAAAAGTGTGTTGTAACAAACTTCAATAGACAGCAACAACAAAGATAACGATAATAATAAAAATAAATAAAATAATCACAATTAAAATAATAATAATTATTTCACGAATACATAAAACTCATATTGACCGCAGTTGCGATAAAAATAATATTCCACAACAAACATGTTGTTTTCGCAACACTAATGTTCAATTCACATGTTTATATGTACATATGTCTGTTTGTGTATTTTTGTTTGTATCAATAGGTCCTCAAAATTCATTTTATTCCTAGAAGTGTTGTTTTAAATAAATATCTAAAAATTATTGTACATTTTTCAATGACGTTAATCCATTTTAAAGAATTTTACATTTTTGCATCGATATATTTTTGTACGAATGAAAAACAAAAAGAATTCAAGTGTATCACTCTCTCCTACATAATTGTTTTAAAAAAATCGGATCAGAACCTCTGAAAATATCGACATTTTAAATGCTCTACTTGTTTGGATTGCAAAATAGTCACTTTTTTAAAATAATTGTCATACCAAATTTATATTGAAAAATACTATATTTAATATTTTTGATCGTACAGATGAACTAAATATATAACGCACTACTCCTCTAACGACTCCAAAAGCTGTTTATTACCCTACACTTGAAATAAATTCAGTTGTCAGCATGCAAAAATCGACAAATCCGAAAGAAAAAACATTTTTTTGTCTTTTGGAAAGCAGACTATCCTCATTGACATTTTTCACTTTAAATGTGTTCGACTGTCGCGTTCGATATTATGGGAATTTCCATATATTATTCCTTTGTGTAAATCCGAAGCAGATTTAACATTAAGTGCAGATAGTCACAAAAACACTCTCACCAAGTTAAATCACTTCTTTCACCATTCCATCACGGTTTATAAATGGACGTCCAACTACTATCAAATTTACAACTACCGTGAAAACTTCTTTTTATTTCGGCTTCCAAACTAAAACTATCTATTTTTTCTCAATTAGATTTCCTCATATTTTAAAAACAGATTTGTTTAGAGGATATACCTCAAAAACTATTTCCGGTGTCCACACGTTCATAATTATAACATCAGTGAATTTTTCCAATAACATAATAACATAACATAAGAGTGATAATGCATTAACTATTTTATATGTCAAAGAAACTTTGATAACTCCACATACAGTGGTGGTCATGAGATTAGCACACTTGGTACATATAAAAGTTAATATCAAATATTTTCAGTAGTTCCTTATTTTGAAACTCCTTTTTATACGTAACACATGTTCTTCGAGGATCACAGGGCAATTCTGTTTCATCTGAAGCAACTCCTCTCTATACTTTAGGTATATTTTCAGTCACTGTCGTCCTTAAAACATCACCGGGTTTCATTATTAAAGTTTTAAAAGTATATTTTCGTAGTTATACTGATCCACTCAAACATCCAGCATGAATATAGGACCAGCACACATTCGTATATATCATTACGATGTACATTAGAGGAGTCCAAAAAATAGCTTTACTGGTGTGAAGGGTTTGTAACAAGTTTTTCTCGGAACGACTTTTTTTCGATTATGCCTGTCTTGTAGTAAATGAGCGTTATGTACAATGAGTACATATTTAAAAAAACGTGAGGAATTTGTCGTTTAATAAACACTTGGTACAATATTCTGCACTATCCAAAACACCTATTTTGGTTTTGATTAACCAAAAGGTAACAAGTTAAAATGTTTCTATTATTTTGTCCAAAACTGTATATATGTATGTACATACATACATAAATATACTCGTTCATCATCAGCAAACCAACATCAAACGTTTTCAACGTTACATATTTCACACAATTGAAGACAAAACCAAAAAAAAAAATTCGCAGACATATGACGGCACACACTCTTGCCGTCTTTCGTCTAGACGAAGGAAATTCTTTCACAGATTTTATTCTATTTCACTTTTTGTTTTTTTTTTTATATATATGTATGTAGCTGCTACCATTTTAAAATTTAGTTTCTTAAAATTTTATTTTTGTCGTCCGTGATGTTGATCTTTTTTTGTTTGCATTCTGTTTGGTAAATTTTTCATGTGTTAGAAAATAAAAAAAAAATATTAAAACTTTTCGATCTTTTGTCTGCAATAGTACAAAATCTATGTATGTATGTGTGTATGTATATGCACATATGTATGTATATGTATGGACATTAGTCACGTCCTTAAAAAATCGATTTATAATAAATCATATTTTCGGGAGATAATTATTTATAAAACATTAATATCGCATAAAAATCTGGATGTTATTGACATTTCTCCACGCCATATACATACATATATATATTTATCAAAATGAATATTTCATATTATTTATTTCATAATTCTAAAAAGAAACAGTTACAGCTATAAGTATTAAAATATTAGTTAGTTTCACATATTTTTTGTAAATGTTTTTTAATAATAAAGACTTTCTAATATGATATTCTAATATAATATTAAATATTAAATTAAGTGTATTTTTAGGTACATGTCTAATGTATATTTCGCTTATTTGCTACAAGACTGTCATAACTCAAATTTAGTTTTTTTTTTTTATTTAAGAACTAAAAAATACTCGCCGTTTGAAAGTTATTTACGTATTTTTATTATATTTTCAAAAATTTCTATTATTTTCGGTGTTAGAGCAATATTTTGTTATAAATGCCAAAACTTAGTATTACTAACAAATAAAATAAAAAAATGGTGTTTCAGGGATCGTGAGAAGTGTTCATCCGTGTCCGACAGATAGCTTCGAAGTTTTAATTTTCAGTCAACTATACCTAAACCGCTAAACCGATTATTTTAAAATTATAGGGTTATATAGATCTTTACGTGTAAAGTTCACATGTCGAATAGAGGGACTGTAACGTGGACCGGGCACCAGTAGTATATAATAAATATAAAAAAAATATATTGTCAGGAGAAGTTAAACTCTAATTTGTTAAAAAATGATTTAAGAAATAGTAAGATGACATAAAACATTATCTAAACTATATTTTTGACTTAGATCAGTCTTATAGAAAATGAGCAATATGTGTGTATGTAAGTACTACTTTTAATTAGTATGTGTGAAGAAAATAACGACCCAGCAGTTCGACAAAGAGTCAATACATTTGAAAGAAACAGTAATTTCCACTAACGTCTAGTCACCTGTTTGGCTCTAATACGTTCTTCGTCACGAAAAACAAAGAGAAAACAGACGTCAACTTAAAGTCACGTTTGTAAGCAGAGACAGTTCTCATGTTACAGTCCTTAAGTAATCTGTGGTTGGGCAAATACTTATCAAATTCAAAAATTAATAGTACATTATACATATATACAAACAAATTACAGGAGACTCCGTGGATCTTTCATTAGCAATGGGAACATAATCGGGCTACCGGTTCCCGCGGAGCCTGATTATGTGGTTCTCTGGTTAGTGGTTAGTGTTGCAATCTGTTAGACCGGAGGTCGTGGGTTTGATTTCCCATGGTGTATTTCTTTGGATTTGATATAACATACATCCTCCTTTCAAACTAACTGTTTTTTATTTTTTAGGCAATAATACCCTTCTACAAGCACACAGGTGTGCTGAATTGATTTAATCGAATTTTGGATTGACGTACGGCTTCATCACGAATTACTTACCGTTTGCAGCACCGAGGAGATCAACAGTGGTTGCAACAGCCGGTGGTAAAACAACCGCATCAGCTACTGGTCGCGGATCTACCTCTACTGGATTATTGGGTTCTAATTTTGTAGCATTTTCATTCACCAGCCCGTTTAGTAGTTTTGGTAGCAGCAACAGCAATCAGAACGGCCAAAATACGCCAAACAACAACAGCTCATCACAGCAACAGCCTCAACTTTCCTCTATTACATCCACTTCTTCACAGATATTTCCAAAAGTAGCCATGACAGATATTGGCTCTTTGTCTGCTTCCAATGAAGCCGGTGGCAGTCATTCGAATGCAACAATAGTCAAAGAGGGCTGGTTACAAAAACGAGGTGAACACATAAAAACATGGCGTTCTCGTTACTTTATATTACGAAGCGATGGCACACTGCACGGCTGGCGTTCCAAACCTAATGAAAACGCTCCGCCTGAAAGACCATTAAATGATTTTACGATCAAGGGCTGCCAAATAATGACCGTTGATCGCCCCAGGCCTTTTACATTTATCATTCGGGGTCTCCAGTGGACCTCAGTGGTTGAGCGAACATTCTCTGTTGACACTGAAAGGGAGAGGCAAGAATGGACAGACGCCATAAGGTAAGTTTCGTATTTATGATGTCTTCAAAATCAAAAACTTTAATATTCATTGTGTTTTATTCTGCTTCAGAACTGTGGCAAGTAGCTTGAGTGAACTGGGAGAAACTGCGATGTGTACTTCAGATAATACAGATATGACAGATGTCGATATGGCTTCTATTGCTGAAAATGAATTGTGTGAAAAGTTTTCCGTTCAGGGCACATCAACACGCAGCAGTGGTGGAGTGAAGAAAGTCGTAAGTTAGGCACAATTTGCATAACTCTATTTATCAATTAATACATGATATTTTTTTTTATATCCTTAAGACTTTGGAAAATTTTGAATTTTTAAAAGTTTTGGGTAAAGGAACGTTTGGTAAAGTGATTTTGTGCCGCGAAAAGGCAACAGCCAAGTTGTATGCCATTAAAATTCTCAAAAAAGAAGTTATTATACAAAAGGACGAAGTTGCCCATACCATAACAGAGAGTCGAGTTTTACAAACAACAAATCATCCATTTTTAATAGTATGTATAGCGAGCTAAGTGTTATATCAAAAAGATTGTAATAAATTTAAACTATTTTCCTTTTTGTAGTCTTTAAAATATTCCTTCCAAACAAACGATAGACTTTGCTTCGTAATGCAGTATGTAAACGGTGGAGAATTGTTCTTTCATTTAAGTCGTGAACGTATATTCTCCGAAGAGAGAACACGCTTTTACGGAGCTGAAATTATATCGGCTTTGGGCTATTTACACTCACAAAGCATTATTTATCGTGATCTTAAACTCGAAAATCTTTTGTTAGACAAAGATGGTCACATAAAAATTGCAGATTTCGGTCTATGCAAGGAAGATATTACATATGGTCGCACGACGAAAACTTTCTGTGGCACGCCGGAATATTTGGCGCCAGAAGTATTAGAAGATAACGATTATGGTCGAGCTGTTGATTGGTGGGGCACAGGTGTGGTTATGTATGAAATGGTAAGCAACGAAATTGATGTATAAATAACACATTTCATTCCTGTTCTTCATTTAACTCAATTCCAGATTTGTGGGCGTCTTCCATTTTATAATCGTGATCACGACGTCCTTTTCACACTGATTCTTATGGAAGAAGTGAAATTTCCTCGTATGATTTCAGATGAGGCCAAAAGTCTGCTGGCCGGTCTTTTGGCTAAAGATCCTAAAAAACGTTTAGGTGGCGGACCAGGTGATGTAAAAGAAATTCAAGTACATCCTTTCTTCGCCAGCATTAATTGGACTGATTTGGTGCAGAAAAAGGCAAGTAGTTGAAGAAATTAAAAATTGCATATTTATAATAATGAAGTATGATTACTTTTCAGATCGAACCGCCATTTAAACCCCAAGTAACTTCAGATACGGATACACGTTATTTTGACAAAGAATTCACCGGTGAAAGTGTCGAATTGACACCACCAGACCCCACGGGCCCCCTAGGCTCAATAGCAGAAGAACCACATTTTCCACAAGTAAGTAATGTCTAACTATATAAACAGCTATAAACTTATACATACTTAGGGGTTTTAACTTTTTTTAACATTCGCAAATAAATAAAATACATAAAATAAAAAACGTTGATTTAATTTTCTATTTACAGTTTAGTTATCAGGATATGGCCTCTACATTGGGCACTTCATCACACATCAGTAACTCAGCTAGTTTGGCATCAATGCAATAGAAAAGAGTGCAAAGCATTTGATAAAAATTCAACAATACACATATTGCCTATGCCAGCAACTACAACAACAGCAAACAATATTAGCCGTGTTCACGTCTAAATAAAAGTCGTCCAACGTTTTCAACGAACTTATTTTCTTTCGTAAACGTTGGAACGTATTTTAGTATCCTAAATAACAATTATGACAAACAAACAAAAAAACAAACTATAAAGCAACCACTACCATTAATTTAAAAAAAAAACAACAACAGCAAATAATTAATTCAATGAAAGTAAACAAACACTGCTAATCCAAAAAAGATAAACTAATCCTTACATATGATTTATTCGTTCGCTCCGATAAAAGTCATAAAGGCCAAATAGATCTTATTCTTACTCTCTTAGCATCAAAATAAACTATAAATTAAAAAATAAAAATAATAACAGGTAATTTAATTTCTTTTGTCCCTCCATATAAAGGTCAACTGTTAATTGGTAGCCATCTGTTGGATTCTAAGGCCTTCTTTGAGGCGATCATTTAAATAATTCATTATTTATTGTTTAAACTACAATACACAAATAAAAAACTGAGTAGAAAAACACTAAAAAATCAGCATACAATACATACAAACAATATGATTTAAAACACGATGTATTTAAATCGAAACATTAAAAAATGAAATTAAATTTAATATACATTAATATACCTATTTAAAACAAGAAAAATGAAAACAAAAAATTAAAAACTATAAAAAGTTAATTAAATTTATATTATTAAAAAGCATAATACATATAACAAACAGGCAGTTGCATTATATATCTACATAAATACATGCATACATACATAAATACTATATACAACTTACTATAGGGTGCTTTAAAAAGCAAAAAAGCAACCAACCAACCAACCAAGAAATATTTTTTAATTTCTTTTTTTTAAGAATTTTTTAAATTAACTTTGTAAAGACAATTTAATGAATTCAAAATTCATTGAACAGTATGTACTTTACATTCAAAGTAAAAAAAAAAACGAATAAAAATAATAATAAATTAAAATATGATAATGAATTTGAAAAATTGTATTCATCGCGAGTTTGACGGATAGTTAACACTGTCAGCCAGCCAGATACATTGTTTGTTTGGTTTAACTTTTTCCCCTAACTTCTTATAATTTCATATAATACATGTGTATTGTATAGTATCATTTGTATCTTAACTGAGTTTCGATTGATAGTTATTTATTTTAAACGAATTTAGTTTGATTTTAAATCTGAAGAAAGTTTTATGAAAACTACATTAATCAAACATACTTTAATATAACTTTTAGAAAGAAACCAAGACAGCAAGCAAACAAATGCCGAGACAACGTTTATGTATATTTTATTGTTTTTTCTTTAGTAACAATTTCATTTGAAGAAGTATCTTTGTGGTTGGTTATACTGCATACTTACAAACATACATGCATACAACGCTGAGTTAATAGTCAACAACTTACAATTCAGTATATAAAGCTATGTACTTGTTATTTCACAGCATTTAGATGAAATAAAAATTAAAAACAAAAACAAATAATATAAAAATAAAACATGTTAATTTTTTGTTTTCGATATATTTTTTTATAATAATTTTGTTCTGAATCTTCTAATCCGTTACCTATGAATATGCCAATATAAAAATAGAAAAAAAGAGAGATACAATTAATTAAAGGGATTTTGCTTTTTACTTTCAATGTACAATCTAAAGAAATTAACAACGAAACTATGTTCCACTATAGAGTAAACAACAAACAAACAAATAAAATAAACACTAGCTGTTATATTAACAGTTGAATAACTACTTACTACTGATCCATATAAACACAAAAACATAATTGTAATAATCAATCATCTGTAAGCCATAATCATTAAGAATAGAAGGAAGAACAAACATTTTTCCAGCACTATCCGCACCAATTTATACCAACCAACACAACCCAAATTCCTTCCCCAGCCTCACAGTCTAGTTTTAAGCTCAGTTTTTATATACTTTATTGCAAAAAAAATTCAAAGAATTTCATTAAACAAATATAAATTAATTGAAAAGAACGGCGTACTCTAAGAAAAAGCAGAATCCTTTTGTTTGATTTATTATGTTAATTAATTGAATGCAACAAACTGTACAACCAACCAACTTTAATTGAAAAGTGTGATGTTTTCTTTTGAACTACATATTTTAGTTTTAAAAATATTATTATTTTATGTTCTTTTAATTACTACGAAGGTTTACTTTTTTTTCGTTATTAAAACAATTTTAAATTTGTTTATTTGACATTGTAAACATTTTCATAGGGTTTTTATAGCAAAAATTTACCTAAATACAAATAAAATAACAAAAAAATAAAACATAAAAATAGTTTAATAAAAAAGTATAAAAAACAAACAAAAATAGTTTAATAATAGAAATAAATCACTTTTTTAACTAATAACTAATGAAAGTAATACACAAAAATCAATATAATTCATCAACAATAGTTACCGACTTCCTCTTAAATAAGAAGTTTTGCAGTTTTAGTCATGTAAGTCATATTAAATAATATACACTACTTTATTTTTTTTTTATAAAAAAAGAAAAAATGGAAATGCTGTTTAATAAATATGTAAAGTTTTTTGTATTAATGATTTATTGGTATCAAAGCCTGTTCGTTTAAGTACTTTTTTTTTTATTCCAGTATCACTCTCGCTTTTTTGCATTAAAAATTTTCAATAATGAATTTAAAAAAGGAACATATACATTTACGAACAGACTCAATACATATTTACTTTTTTATTTGTTTTACCTTTTGTACTAATTTTAATAAAAAAAAAAAATACTTGTTTATACATGAAAAACAATACGATTTAATAATTCGATGAGAAATGTTGAGAATTCCGAAGAAAAGATATACGGATCGAAAATAAAGAAAAACATTATTAAATATGTAGATAACATTTTATCTATGTAATAATTTATACATATTATATACTTTATACAAATAAAATATAAGATTTAAAAAAATAATAAAAACAAAAAATAAAAAAATATAATTGTTTTAATTTTAAAGGTACGTTGGCGGTAGTTATAACGGAACCCAATTTTTTGCACCTCTACTATATAGCTTAGTTATAACAAATTCTCGATATTAAGAACTTATTTTCAAGTCTCGATATTTCGATAACAATTTTCATAAAAAATTTGTTCTTTTTATACCGAACTTTGCTTTTATTACTTTTTATTTACAGTTAATCTCAAAAATAAGTATACAGAAATACTGACAATTGGTTTTATTTAAAAAAGGATATTATTTTTTCAAAAATCAAAAAAGTAACATATTTATTTATTAAAAACAATTATGATAATTATTATTCACTACTTTTTTCCGGGTTATTTTGGTTACTTGAGTTCTCATTTAAGGTGTAGTTAAATAGGTGCAAAATTTACGTCACAAAAGTAAGTATGCAGATAATTTCAATATGTATTTGGCTTAATGATATTAACAAAATCATGAAAATTTTACCTGTTTGAATGTAATTTTTATATAATAAAATATTCTGTACACTATAACATGGAAAAAATTCACTTTTTGTTCCGAAAAATTTAAATTGTTGGTAATTGATCTGAATATTATTTATAGGAGCATTTTTTCCTATCTGACTATTTAAACCCCCGGAGTTTTGGATCCAGTATTCAATAATATCCCTCGTTTGTTCATTATGATGCATTGGAAGACGATATTTTAACTTTTAAATTAATCGTTTCTTTACAATAATTGCAATCCATTGCGGAACATTGCCGTTTTTAACATAGTATAGCGTTCATATTCGATATTTAACGGAGATTTCCTAAAATTTATATCTTAAAATGCGATATTAATTATATTTGTACTAGTATCCATTAATTAAACCAAGTTTTTTGGTTCCAATCATCCATTACACACTCCTAAATACTACCAATAATCGTCAAATGGTGACCATGTCAATAACTTACACTACATATCGGTTCTGAAATTGATTATTGTCCAAAATAGTAAGATTTTTATATTAAATCAGGCTCAATTGGTGGTATGAATACGAATTGAACAATTTTGAACACGGATACATCTTAATTTGCTGCTGGAACAAATATAATGTCTGATCCATAAAACATGGTTATTGTATAGAGTATATCAAGATATGATTGGTAGCATTATTGTATGCTTTGGAAATCGAAGTATTTAGAGAACCTGTTTAAATTAAAGGAAATATATAGAATTATCCAAATTTTAAAGTTTATGTTGTAAGTCTTAAGAAATCGGAGTTAAATTTCGGTTTTTTAAGAACGTACTGTGTTCAAAATTGCCAAATCCATGCATATAACATTAATTTCGAAATAACAACTCTTTTCAAAAGTTAAAAATTCTATTTCCAATGCATCATTTGGAGGGTTCAATGACCAGCAGATCCAAAATCCGGGGTCTAAAGTGGAAAAAAATCGTAGAAATAAGAAAAAACTGTTCTACTAATTAATTCCGGAGCCAATCGGCACAAATTTCAAGATTTCGGAACTAAAAGTAGATTTTTTCCAAGTTATTGTGTAAAAAATATTTTATTAAAAAGTAATTATATTAATACAAGTAAAATTTTCATAAATTTTGTTAATATCATTAAACCAAATATATACTGAAATGGTCTGTTACTTACTTTTGTGACGTAAATTTTGCACCTTTTTTAACTTCAGCTTAAATGAGAACTCAAAGAACCAAAATATGAAGAAAAAAATTAGTGAATAATAATTATCATAAAATAAATAAAACCAATCGTCAGTATTTCAGTATACTTATTTTTGCGATTAACTGTATATTACTCATTCAGTTAAGCGACGATCGAAAAAAGGTATTCCAACAATAAATTTTCATATTCGAAATGCAGAATAAGGGCGAATAAAAATAGTTTAAAAAGATTTGAAAACCTTTCTTGAATATATTTTTACAGATTTTAATATCTTTCTTTATAAAATCGTGATAAAACTTTAGTTATATTTAATTGAAATAACCAAGCAACATCAACCTGGTTGATCGTAAACCCGTTTGTTTGGTTATATTTTATACTACAAAGTAACTTTAAATTATTAAACAAGTAAGAATTTATAGTCGGGCATGTCCGACCACCCCACATTATGTTAAAAATGTTGATTATTTTTTAATAATATTTAATTTTTACCTTAATTCAGAAATATTTTAACAATTTGTTGCCAAAAGAGGGATTTTCTAAAAGTGGGGTTAAATGAGGGGCAGGGGGTTAATATGGTCATATCCTTAAAAATTTTGGTAGAGTAATTTACGTCTACATTAGTTATTTATGCAGAATATCATCGTGATACTAGTGTTTGTAAGTGAATTTTGACCATCAACTCATTTTCTGAATGGGACTTTGTATAGAGGATAGGGTAAAATGAGGCCCGATCATTACGAAAATCAGCAGTATCATTAATACATAAAAAACTAAGTTTTGCCGATTTTGAAGTGATACAAGAACATTTAACATATTTATGAGCTTAAAATCCCTATACGGAGGGTACGGTTGTATGGGGGCTATACGAAATAAAGGACCGATTTTAACCATTTTCGTCCTTGAGTATGCGCCAAATTTCATCGAGTTATCTTGAAAATTGCGACCTGTAGAGTGTGCACAAGGTTTACATGGACACACAGACGGACGGATATAGCTAAATCGAATCAGAAAGTGATTCTGAGCCAATTGGTATACTTTAAGGTGGGTGTAGGACCAATATTTTCGGGTGTTACAAACCCCACTATAATATAGTGGTGTAGGGTATAATTAGATTCAATTATCGTTTCACTACTTGTCGGATTTGCAGATTTTACAGTAAATTATTTTCGCATTTAAAAGTTTAATGTTTGTTTATTTTCATTAACTCTTTGTATTTCAGACTATATCCTGTAATTTGACCAGTACATGAATATACAATTTGTTATAGGTATGTACATATATTCATATTTATTGTAAGAGCTGTTTGAACATTGTAATAAAATATCTATTTCAACAGCATTCCTTTGGCAACCTCCGCCGCTTTATCGGAACCAGCTAGTACTTCAGCGATTTTTAAACCAAATTCAAATGCTGTTCCTGGTCCACGGCTAGTAATCAAATTGCCGTCTTGAACAACTGTCTGATCATCAATATATCTAAATTAAATGAATAATGAGGTAGTTATGTATTAACAAAAAGTAAATATGTGTGTATATTCGTTAGAATTACTTGTAAATAGTTTCCAATTGAGATTTTACAGATGGGTAGGATGTCAGTGATTTTCCTTGGCAAATACTATGAGCTGCTAATGCCGTTGGTGCAGCACATATAGCAGCCACAATACGACCCTCACTTTCTTGTTGTTTTAATATTTCTCCTACAACTGCCGATTCTGCCATGGCTTTCGATCCACCCAAGCCACCGGGTAATATAACAACGTCGTATTTGTTAGATTTTGAAGCTTCCAAAGAAGTGTCTGGTAAGATCACAACATCTCTGGAGCACTTAACCGGTTCGGTACCACTTAAACCAGCAACTGTTACCTTTACCTAAAATAGTACATAATTTATAATTTATATTTTAAGCTGTTTTAGATTAGATTAACTGCCAAATACTCAAAATTTAAATAGTTACAAAGATATTTTTGCTAAAAATTTAGGAGGAATTATTTCATGCTTTACGAAACGAAACAAATTTTAATTTTGGCAAAAACACAAAATAAAAGTAGTATGAACTAATGTACATATTTATTATTTAAATATGCAACTCATACACACAGTATATATGCATCCACATATATGTATTTATTTGAACTTACCCCGGCCCTACGTAAAACATCAGCGGATATAACAAATTCCATTTCTTCAGCACCTGGTGCCAAAATAATTAAAGCAGTTTTGGACATTTTTTCTATGATTTGACTGCAAAAATTACGTTCACAAAACCCACTTAAATTTGATGGTTTCAGGCAAATATTTATGAATGACCTTCGCAGGAACAGCATTCGGTATTTTTCTGACAGAAAGTGTATTAATAAAGTGACGACGGACTATTTGTACAATAAACATCTGCAACAACCACAGGCAATTGTTTTTGTTATTTTCCACCAATATGTCAAAATTTGCCTGTTGTTTTTGTAACCTTTACTTTTTATAAAAAATAGTCAGCTGTACGTGTAGGTCTATTTTATTAAACACGTATTTTGTTTTGACACTTTTTAGCCGAAGTCAGTATTGGCAATTCAGCGATTTTTCTTAAAATTTGGTGTTTTTAAAGTTTAAGGGGGTTTAAGTTTTAGCTTTAGGGGCATTTCCGGTTCAAGGTATATGGATTATATTACTACTACTCCTAATGCTTGGAGCCCATACTCCAATATAAGTTTATTACTATTGTAAAAGAGCTGAAATACAATGCTTAGCACAACGTCAATTGAACAAATTATTTTTTAATTTAAATTTAATATTCCTTATTCGGCTCCATGTTTCATTTAATGAAACCTAACATGTTTTTGGTATGAAAGGCAATCAGTCTTATCTGCACTGATCGTCGTTTTCGATTTATAATTTTTGATTCAGAAAACAATATTATTGACTTAATTTTTTGGGATTTTTAATATATTTACATTTTGCAGTTTACTTTGAGAAAAAGTTAACATCATTGACAGAAAAATAACAAAAAATATTAAACAAATTGGTAATGCGAGAAAAATAATAGACTTGCCAGGGATGTAAAAGTTTTTATATTGATTTTTTTACAGCCGCGGGTCACATGATTCAAGAGGATAATAAAAAATTTCTTCTTCCAAAAGTTAGCACTAATCCCGTGTACGCGAGATATTGGAAGTGAAAGGCAACGTTTTATTTTACTAATATATTAGTAACCACTTGCAGTAAAATACACATATTTATCAATATAATACTAAAAATATTTTAACATCTTCACATTTTAATATTATTGCTAATAAAAATTGCAACATTACTTTGAAATTTCTAGCAGCTCATATTCACAGTATTTGTTTTCTGCGTTTGTACAACAATCGAAATATATTTTTTTGCTATAGTAACGCATACACGCCATCGTTGTGCTGCTAATTTTTTCCTAGCAGCAGTATGTTGTTTTCACTGAAAGGTCACAAACATATTTTTTGTGTATATATCTCGATTATTACGCATATTACGGTTTTTTCTTTGTTAAATGTCAGTTTTGAAGTATGTATGTACATTAGGGTGGGTCGAAAATAGGCTTTTCGCTCGGAACAACTTCTAATAGTGAAATTATGTTGTATTTTAACGTCAAATGGAAGACTGTAAAATATTATTCAATTATTTTGAGGGTAAGAGCCGCGCATCGCCGCCAAAGTTTGTAAGTGCGTTTTTATGGGAAAAACGGCACTTTTTGGAGTTTTTTTTTCACAAAATGAGGCTTTAAGTATTAATTATTGCACAATTTTATAGCAAAATCGTAATGTCTACAAAATTGTCTTTCCAAAAAGATGGAAAAACTGGTTAAAAAATGGTTGAGTTATTAAAATTTCTCCCGAGAAATTTGTGATTCTGAAGACATATAAAAGTAAATATAAGAAAATTTGTTTTAGTTTTGAAAAATTTTACAAAAAATATTATGTTTATCTTTATAAGGTTCATAAATGTGCTAGTACGAATTTTTGTTCAAATTGGATAACGCTTACTCGGCTTAGTCTGTGGTCAAAAAAGGGCCATTATTTTAACATCTTTAGCATCTCCAAAACTCAATTTTCAAACTTTAAAAAATTTTGTTAAATGGATTATTAAAAATTAAAGTTTTCTATACTGGATATTATAAAGGATATATATAAGAATTAAACACACCCTAATGTGCAGTTCTATTATCAAAACTTATATTTTGTTGTAAGCTTTGTCTTAGAATCACTTTCTGGCCCATAATTTGGAAGTGATTAATTGGCAAATCATTGTTAATTTTTATAGTCGACTTTTGATAGGAAAAGTTAAAAACGGCAACGCTGGGTGAAACACTGGTGTTGTAAAAGTCGTTAAAAGGGAAAGTAAAAACATCACTACTAAAGTTCATGTAAACAAAGGAGAAAAATTTATACAACCATAAATTCGACTTACGAGTATTAAAAGGAAATTTTTGACTTATTTGCCGTTGGAATAAATCACAAACTTACGGGATACATACATACATTAGGATGGCTCATGGTAAAATAATAATATTCTTGTTTATAGTACATAGATATAATTATTAAAAATACATAGGTATAATTAGTATAAATGTTGATTTTTTTGTTTTTGGATTATGCCAATCGACTGCAAGATTGGCATAATTCGAAAACAAGCGTTTAGAGAAAAATTGCATTTAAGTATTTTTTAAATAACTTTAAAATAAATCAATGGTTTTGAAAAATTAAACCAGATTCAGATATTAGAGGTTGATATGTTTCTCATCTAAATTGAAATTTGATTATTATTTATGTAACTAATTTTATATTTGCAACAAAAAAACGATCTCACACCGAAAATAATAGAGATATTTGAAATCTGATAAAACTACAGTATGGAACATGTTTTGTAGCCCTCATTTACTTAATGTAATTAAATTTATATGTGAACAGACATATTAAAGACTTTTACAGGAATAATATACATTAATTTAAAATAGATAATAATATATTTTATTTCGGCTCATCTTTTGTAGTACACTGTAAAAAATATTTGAGTTATAGTAGCCTTTTTATTAAAAAACCATATAAAATGTATGAAAGTTTATAAAGGTTTTCGAGTTTAAAATAGTCAATCAAAAATTGAAAATAATAAACTAACGTTTTATTATTTGAAGTTGAAAATTGGAACCTGCTATAATTAATGCAACTCAATGAGAATTAAAATGACAGTCCAATATACATACACACATATATTCATAATACATACATACATACATACATAATTAACAATGATGTAAAATTACATTTTACTTGAAATTAATTATCATTTATTTAACACTTTCAAATGTGTCACATCAAATCTGACAGCATTTTTCAATGCCATTTGTAAAGTACAGCTTTAGAGAAATTCTACAACAAAAACAATAATAATATTTAAGAAAAATTAATAACAAAACAAAAAACACTCAAACAATACTTTAAACGTGAGGAGCCCGAATGAAAACATTCATTCATTCACTTTTGTTTGAATCACAATGACCGCCACTTTATTTTAAACATCTATTATAGAAAAAGAAAAATCTTAATATGAACACCGATTGACTTTGAACAAAAAGCCTGTGATTTGTCTCACACATAAACATATGTACATATAAACACATAGTGTCACCGGACAAGTAAGATGCAATTAATCATCTTTGTTTTTGTTTAAGCAAACATGACCCTATTGTGGATTGTGTTACTTCTTACATACTAACATACATACATACTTATTTACTTGCACATCAGACATGGAAAATTCCGTAAGTATTATACTTTTTTCAGTACTTTTTGATACCCAAATTACCATAGTACCCCCGATCTATGTAGCCATGTCCGTTAGGGATGGCAAAATTGCTTTTGTTACCCCTCACAAAATTTACCTTGGTTTGTTTTATGATGATTTCCAACATATTTTAAGCCTAGCGACAGTGAAACATCCCAGTAAAAATTGGAGCTTACATGCAAGCAGGTTTGTAAGGGAACGAAGCTATTTTCTCCCTTACAAACCTGCTTCGATAAGGCATTATTTTTATATAGCGAATTCCCACTTGGAAGCATTCCCACTAGTAAGCTTAAATATTATTTAAATACTTCACTTACAATCTGCATCTCTGTAAGGGATAGTAGTAAGCTTTTAATTTTTTCAGCTTACATTATAAAATTACTCCTATCATTGGTATTCCCTTATTTCCTGCTTCTCAGTAAGGCTTAATAGTAAGCGAATACAGATGCAGTTACTTCCCTTTTTAGCTTCCTAAAGTCTAAAAATTTTTTACTGGGATGTATCTGTCGGTCCACACTAGGAAACTTGTTTTGGGAAACTTTTGATTTTGCGTGAGAGAGAAAGAGAAAGAATATCATTCATCTCTCTCGTGGTACGGAGTTTCTCGTACTCGGAAACTTGTTTTGTTTTGTTAGATCAGTCTTTATTATACCCTTCACCTTCGTGAGAAGGGTATATATAAGTTTGTCATTCCGTTTGTAATTTCTATAATATAATTTTCCGACCCCATAAAGTATATATATTCTGGATCCTTATAGGTAGCGGAGTTGATTAAGCTGTGTCCGTCTGTCTGTCCGTCTGTGTGTTTGTTGAAATCAGTTTTTAGAGGACCCCAGATATCGGCGAGATCCGAATCTTCAATAATTCTGTTAGACATGCTTTCGAGAAGATCGCTATTTAAAATCAGTAAAATCGGTCCATACCGGAGATATGAGCAAAAATCCGAGACAACCTCTGAAAATTTCATAAAAAAGACAAATTTTTCCATGCTTTGATATACATACATATAGCAACAACAACACAGCTTATTCATTGAGTATTTCGTTTCATATGTTTGGATGGCTCTGTGTTTCATTGCCTTGTGTATTTTGTTTTTGTTTCTTGGTGTATTCATTTTCGTATGTTTGGATGCCTGTCGGTTTCATTGCGTTGTGTATTTTGTTTTTGTTTTTTTGAGAATTTCGTTTCGTATGCTTGGATGCCTGTGTGTTTCATTGCCTTCTGTATATTGTTTTTGTTTCTTGGTGCATTCAGTTTCGTATGTTTGGATGTCTGTTGGTTTCATTGCGTTGTGTATTTTGTTTTTGTTTTTGTTTTTTTTTTTTAATATTTCGTTTTGTCTGTTTGGATGGCTGTGTGTTTCATTGCCTTGTGTATTTTGTTTTTGTTTCTTGGTGTATTCATTTTCGTATGTTTGGATGCCTGTCGGTTTCATTGCGTTGTGTATTTTGTTTTTTGTGTGGTTATTTCGTTTAGCGTTGTTGTTGTTCATTTTGTTTTGCTATTGCTATAATAATGATATTGTCGGGAAAATGAAATACATTTAAATTTTATGAAATTGATATTTATTAAATACACTATGGTGAAGGGTATATAAGATTCGGCAAAG